AAAACATTTTGGGAGATGAAGTTGAGGAAGGAAATTCAAGAGATCAAGTTGGGGAAGAGTTTAGTCCCATAAGCTAGGGAATTTGATCCCGAGACTCTGCAATCTCAGTATAACAAATTAGAGGCTCAAGTTGCAGGCACTCGTATCAGAGTGCGCCAGGCTTGCATAGTTACTGGAAATAAGCTGCAACTAGACGAAAACATTTTGGGAGATGAAGTTGAGGAAGGAAATTCAAGAGATCAAGTTGGGGAAGAGTTTACTCCTAGAAGCTAGGGAATTTGATCTTGAGACTCTGCAATCTCAGTACAACAAATTAGAGGCTCAAGTTTCAGGCACTCGTATCAGAGTGCGCCAGGCTTGCATAGTTACTGGAAATAAGCTGCAACTAGACCTAAATGTGCCAGAGGACAAAAATCATTTGACTTCTGAGCTTGTGAGTTATTTTGTCTCTCATTTTGCTCTTTTGTGCTTCGGTTTTGTAGGAAAAATAAGAAATATTATGCCTCAGAAATAAATGAATTTGATATTCCTTTTCATTCAAACCAAATCCATAGATCATACGTGTTTCTATTGATATTTTTGAATAATTCTTAGCAATGGGGTAGATCTATTAGAACTATCCACACTCGTCGCTGTACAAAGGGCTATTATGTGTTTTTATTGATATTTTTAAATAATTCTTAGCAATGGAGAAACTATTAGAATTACTCACACTTGTCACAGTACAAAGGGCTATTATGTGTTTTTATGGAGAGGGAAAGAAGAGAGTCTAGGAGAGAGAAAACATATTAAATTCTTATTCTTCCAAATATAATACGTATATTATGTGGGAGAGTTATAACACCCATAACTCTATCTCGTCAAGCGATGAGATAGTGGGTTAATCCAAGCGTACTTTGACTAGGTCTCTCCTTATGGGTCTTAGGTCATGCTACCATAAGCGATCCAATTAGGATTGGATTTTAAAATTCCTAAACTTTTGAAGCTTCAACAAGCCAAAAGTAGTTTCATATGCAAGTTTATCTACCACCAAACTTGTTGGAAATTGGGTCGGATTTAAAATCCATTCCTGATTGGATCGCTCATGGTAGCATGACCTAAGACCCATAAAGAGAGACCTAGTCGAAGTACGCTTGTGTGATTAACCCACTATCTCATCGCTTGACGAGATAGAGTTATGGGTGTTATAACTCTCCCACATAATATACGTATTATATTTGGAAGAATAAGAATTTAATGTGTTTTCTCTCTCCTAGACTCTTGTTTCTCTTTCCATAAAAACACATAATAGCCCTTTGTACTGTGACAAGTGTGAGTAATTCTAATAGTTTCTCCATTGCTAAGAATTATTTAAAAATATCAATAAAAACACATAATAGCCCTTTGTACTGTGACAAGTGTGAGTAATTCTAATAGTTTCTCCATTGCTAAGAATTATTTAAAAATATCAATAAAAACACATAATAGCCCTTTGTACTGTGACAAGTGTGAGTAATTCTAATAGTTTCTCCATTGCTAAGAATTATTTAAAAATATCAATAAAAACACATAATAGCCCTTTGTACTGTGACAAGTGTGAGTAATTCTAATAGTTTCTCCATTGCTAAGAATTATTTAAAAATATCAATAAAAACACATAATAGCCCTTTGTACTGTGACAAGTGTGAGTAATTCTAATAGTTTCTCCATTGCTAAGAATTATTTAAAAATATCAATAAAAACACATAATAGCCCTTTGTACTGTGACAAGTGTGAGTAATTCTAATAGTTTCTCCATTGCTAAGAATGATTTCTTCATAGCCTCGTTTTGCTTCTCCAGTTCCGAAATCTGATTCGCCAGCCCAATCTCTTCTTGCGATGTCTCCATTTGCTTTTCAGATATAAATCTCTTAGTCGTAGAGACAAGACAGATAGCTTACTCGCTTCACTACACTAATGGCCAATGTCAGCGTTGGTCCTGCTGCTCAGGTTAGGGTTGTAGTGTAGTGCAGTGAAGTGAGTAAGCTATCTGTCTTGTCTCTACGACTAGGAGATTTATATCTGAAAAACAAATGGAGATATCGCAAGAAGAGATTGGGCTGGCAAATTAGATTTCAGAACTGGAGAAGCAAAACGAGGCTATGAAGAAATCGAATTTCGAATTTATGCGTCCAGATTTGAGTGAGGATTAGAAAACATTTTGGGAGATGAAGTTGAGGAAGGAAATTCAAGAGATCAAGTTGGGGAAGAGTTTAGTCCCATAAGCTAGGGAATTTGATCCCGAGACTCTGCAATCTCAGTACAACAAATTAGAGGCTTAAGTTGCAGGCACTCGTATCAGAGTGCGCCAGGCTTAGATAGTTACCGGAAATAAGCTGCAACTAGACCTAAATGTGCAAGAGGACAAAAATCATTTGACTTCTGAGCTTGGGAGTTATTTTGTCTCTCATTTTGCTCTTTTGTGCTTCGGTTTTGTAGGAAAAATAAGAAATATTATGCCTCAGAAATAAATGGATTTGATATACATTTTCATTCAAACCAAATCCATAGATCATACGTGTTTCTATTGATATTTTTGAATAATTCTTAGCAATGAGGTAGATCTATTAGAACTATCCACACTCGTCGCTGTACAAAGGGCTATTATGTGTTTTTATTGATATTTTTAAATAATTCTTAGCAATGGAGTAAAACTATTAGAATTACTCACACTCGTCACAGTACAAAGGGGCTATTATGTGTTTTTATGGAGAGGGAAAGAAGAGAGTCTAGGAGAGTGGGAGAGTCATAACTCTATCTCGTCAAGCGATGAGATAGTGGGTTAATCCAA